GAATGAAGCAATAAAACAAAACAAAGGAAAAGGAAAGCAAATAGTATGCTTCGATCTGCATTCAGACTCCATAGTTCTTTCTCTGGATGTGGATAGCATTTTCTATCATGAGTCTTTTGGAGTTGTCTTAGATCCTTGCATTGATGAGAAGAGCCAAGTCTATCAAAGTCAATCATTGCACAGTGTGGCTATTACTGTGTACAATATTCTCCTGGTTCTGCTCATTTTACTCAGCATCAATTCATATAAGTCTTTCGAGGTTTTTCTGAAGTCCACCTGCTCATCATTTCTTTTTTTAAAAATTTATTTTGATTTATCAACAATCACTTCCATAAGCTTTTGAGTTTTAAATTTTTCTCCCCCTCCCTCCCTCCCTGCCTCCCTCCGAAGATGGCATGCAATCTGATATAAGCTATACATATACATTCCTATTAAACATATTTTCACATTAGTCATGTAAGGAAGAATTAGAACCAATAGGAGGAACCACAAGAAAGAGAAAACAAAACAGTAAAAAAAAATAGCAAATAGTACGCTTCAATCTGCATTCAAACTCCACAGTTCTTTCTTTGAATGTGGATAGCATTTTCCATCATGAGACCTTTGGAGATGTCTTAGATTCTTGCATTGCTGGGAGGGGCTAAGTGTATCAAAGTCAGTCATCACACAACGTGGCTGTTACTGTGTACAATGTTCTCCTGGTTCTGCTCACTTCACTTAGCATCAGTCCATGCAAGTCTTTCCAGGTTTTTCTGAAGTCTGCCTACTCATCGTTTCTTATAGCACAATAGTATTTCATTATTTTCATATACCACAACTTGCTCACCCATTCCCCAATTGATGGGCAGCCCCTCAATTTCTAATTCTTTGCCACCACAATAAGAACTGCTATAAATATTTTTGTGTATGTGGGTCCTTTTCCCATTTTTTATGATCTCTTTGGGATACAGACCTAGAAGCGATATTGCTGGGTCAAAGGGTATGCACAATTTTATAGCTCTTTGGGCATAGTTCCAAATTGTCCTCCAGAATGGCTAGATCAATTTTTCCACATCTTCTCTGACATATATCATTGTCCTGATTTGTCATGTTAGCCAATCCGATAGGTTTGATGTAGCACCTCAGAATCATTTTGATTTACCTTTCTCTAATCAACAGTGATTTAGAATACTTTTTCATATGACTATAGTTTTAATTTCTTCCTTTGAAAACTGCCTGTTCATATCCTTTGACCATTTATCAATTGGGGAATGATTTGCATTCTTATAAATTTGACTCAGTTCTCTATATATTTTAGAAATGAGGCCTTTACCAGAGACACTAGTTGTAAAAATTCTTTCCCAGTTTTCTGCTTCCCTCCTAATCTTGGATGCATTGGCTTTGTGCAAAAACTTTTCAATTTAATGTAATCAAAATTATCTATTTTGCATTTCATAATGTCTCTATATCTTGTTTGGTCATAAATTCTTTCCTTCCCCATAGATCTGAAAGGTAAACTATTCCTTGCTCTCCTGGTTTGCTTATAGTATCAGTCTTTATATCTAAATCCTGTACCCATTTTGACTTTATCTTGGTATAGGGTGTAAGACGTTGGTCTACATGTCTGACTCTTTGTGACCCCATCTGAGGTTTTCTTGGCAAAGATACTGGAGGGGTTTGCCATTTCCTTCTCCAGCTCATTTTACCAATGAGGAAATGGAGGCAAACAGGATTAAATGGCTTGCCCAGAGTCACATAGCTAGTAAATGTCTGAGGTTGAATCTGAACTCAGATCTTCCTGACTCCAGGCCTGGCACTTTATCCTCTTCACCACCTTGTTCATGGAGGGGAATAAAGTATGAGACGACTGGAAAGGTAGATTGTGAAAGACTTTAAATGCTCACATTGATGGTGGAGGTAATAGGGAACCTCTGGAGTTTATTGAGTAGGAAAAGAGAAATGGTCAGATCTGTTCTTTAGGAAAATCATTTGTCAACTAAGTGGAGGGTAGATTGGAGCGGGAAAAGACAGGATACAAGGAACCCAAAAACGAAGCTATGGTAACGGTCCAGGAGTGAAGTGATAAGGGCCTAAACCAGAGTGCAAAATGGGTGAATGAAGAGAAAGGACATATCAAGAGATGTTGTGAAAGTTAAAAATATCTGACAAGGGATTGGCTATGTGGAATGAATACATGTAAGAAGTTAAGCATAACATGAGGTGATTAGTTGGGTGACTGGAAGGATTGTGCTGTCCTTAAGAATAAGAAGAAGAAAGCTGGGAAGGTGAGAGGGTTTGGAGGGAAAGATACTGATTTTTATTTTGGACAAGTTGAATTTGAGAAGCCTACTGGACATAGTTAGAGATATCCAAAAGGCAGTTGGTAATTCTGGATCAGAGCTCAGCAGAGAGATTAGGACTAGATCTATAGATCTGACAATCATATGTATAGAGATGGTAGTTGAACCAATGATAAAGTCATTGATGAAGTGAGATAGTAGAGGGAAAAGAGAAGAGGGCCCAAGATAGGATGTTGGGGGAACACTCACAATTAGTGATGTGACCTGGATAAAGATCCAGCAAAAGTGACTGAGACAGGTGGGAGGAGAACCAGGAGAGAGTGGTATCATCAAAACCTAGAGGAGATATAGTATCCAAGAGGAGAGGGTGATCAACAGTGTCAAAAGCTGAAGACAGGTCTCAAGGACAATGAATGAGAAAACACCATTAGATTTAAAGTTAAGAGATCACTAGTAACTTTAGAGAGTATAGTTTCAGTAGAGTGATGAGGTTGGATGGTAGATTGCATAGGCTTTAAAACTGAATGACAGAGGGGAAGCTAGGTGGCGCAGCGGATAGAACACCTGTCCTAGACTCAGGAGGATCTGAGTTCAAATCCAGCCTCAGACACATCACACTTTCCAGCTGTGTGACGCTGGGCAAGTCACTTAACCCCACTGCCTCGCCAAAAACAAACAAACAAAAAACCCCAACTGAATGACAGGATAAGTGGAGGCATCTATTATAGACAGCTTTCTTGAGAAGTTTAGCTAAAAGAAGGAAGAGATATACAGGGCAATAGTTGATAGGGATGACTGAATTAAGGGAGGGTTTTTTGAGGCTAGGGAGACATGGACATGTTTGTTTGCAGCAGGGGAGAAGCCAGTACACAGTTATAGATGAAATATTAGAGAGAGAATGGGGATCATTGAAGGGACAATCTGCTGGAGAAGGCAGGAGGGGATAGGATCAAGAGTACAGTATGTAGAAAGGTTTATCCTGGGTAGGAGGAGAGCCACCTCTTCATGTAAGATAAAGAAAAAGAGAATGAGGGGGAAAACAGGGAAAAAAGTAAATGGCTTCAGGTTTGGGGGGGTCGGTTTTTGTTTGTTTTTTGGTTTTAGGTTTTTTTGTTTATTTTTTGTAAAATATGAATTGCAGTACTCAACTGAGAGTATAGGGGAAGGGAATTACAGGAGATGCTTAAGGAGGAATGAAAAGTTTTGGAATAGCAACTATCATGAGTGGGATAGTCAATTAGAATGGTATAAAAAAAATTGCCTTACTACATTAAAGGCCCAGTTGAGATTATGTAACATAAATTATGTACCATCAATTCATAGTGGACCAAACCAACATGATTTCATGATTTCTTCTAATTCTGTTCAGCAAGACACGAATAGAAATAAGAGATGGGCACTGTATTTCACCACATAATCATCTCCACCGCATAATCGTCTCCCCCTGCTTTTTCAGTCCAAAAATTGGTTTATAACCTTTCATCGAGTAATCGTTGCATAGTATAAATCTGTTCATCACACTACTTAAAAGGTAAACAGAGCAGCAGTGTATTCACCAGTGGCATATGGATACACTTTTATCTCTTGCACATTTATCTCTTGCACATTGTGAGCCACGAGCCTAGAATTCTCAGTGTACAGGCATATTTCCTAAAGCTGACTTGTGTAATTTATTCAGAGCACTGCAGCACTAACAGTATTGTCACTCAACCCAATGAACAGGCGCTAGTAGGTGGGCAAGCGAAGCTGCCATGAATAAGTCACGTGATATTGTAAGACTTGTTATCTTCCCAATTTTAATGTATATTCACAAGTATTCCATGCATCCTGATCTTGGACCAAATACAGTTTAGTAATAAGTGATTTTTAAGTAATATTGACACAATTTTAAAGCTTTACATAATGGTCGCACCCCACTTTTTTGCAAAAAATTTTGGCATAGAATCTGCAACTATGCAGTGAAATACAGTACTAGGCATAATCCAAGGTCATAGTTTGACTAAGCATATTTGGCAATGGGACAAAGGGTCAAAAGATTCAAGCGTATATTTTGTACAGCTGAACTGATTCATCAAGGGGAAGAAATGGAGAAAGGAAGAGAATGTAACCAATGCAGGGCTAATGGACTGGGAAAAAACTGAGGAGTTGAAGGTTTGGAGGTCATAGTAGGGATGAAGAAGAAAGAGGTTTAGGGGATGTAAGGTATGGAGAAAGGCAGAATGATTAAAAAAAATATGATCAAATAAAGGAATTTCAGAGTTCACGAACATGGAAGTGAAACACTTACATGTGAGATGTCAAGGTCAAGATTATGACCACCTCTGTGTTGTAGCTAAGGTAGACTAGAGGTCGGAAATTAACTAGACTGAAGAACTGGGAAGTTAGAGTAGTTGTGGGAACGTCAATATATATGTCGATATCCCCTAGTATGAGAGCAGGAGTTGGGGTAGAGAGAAAGATGATGAGCTGGGCCCTGAACTCATGGAGGAAGCAAGGAAAATGGTGCTGTGGTGGTGGTGGTTATTTATTTCTTCTTCAGTCATGTCTGACTCTTTATGACCCCATTTAGAGTTTTCTTGGCAAAGTTACTGGAGTAGTTTGCCATTTCCTTTTCCAGATCATTTTCCAGATGAGGAAACTGAGGCAAATAGAGTTAAGTGACTCACCCAGGGCCACACAGCTAGTCTAAGCATCTGAGGCCACATGTGAACTCATGAAGACGAGTCTTCCTGACACCAGGCCCATCACTCTACCCACTGGGCCACCTAGCCACCCACAAGGAGAATATACTAGGTGTCAAAAGATAATTGCTACCAGGATATAGATTGGGTGAACCTCAAAGCAGGAGATGTTTAGGAATTATGGTAGCAGAGGGAGAGTCTGGAGTGGCAGTAGGGAAGAAGGACTATTCCATCTGTCACATAATGACCAGTAAGTTTGGGATGTGAGTAAAAGTGCAAGCAACACTTCATTGTTTTCAGGTTTTTTTGGTGAGGTAATCGGAGTTAAGTGACTTGCCCAGGGTCACACAGCTAGTGTGTCAACAAGCAGTACTTTAAAAGCTAGCCAGGGAAGCAATCAAGAAACAATCGGGTCTGAGTGATGGCCAGAAGATGGAAGGGGGAGGGGGGGAAGGAAATCACTTAAAAATGAAAGCAAGTTTGCTAATTATGGAGAAAGCAATTCAGAGAACATAGTAAAACCTTGGTGGAGTCGGCAGGGTTGAGGGGGATGGATATAAGGGAGCTGGCAGTTGGAGATTCGGAACAACGTTGGTACATTGACAGCTAGCATTCAGAATCACTGGGCCGGGGAGAATATGAAGGAGTAGGGATATGATAACCATCGAGAGACAAATCCAGGCACAGTATCAGTGGCTAGAGAAGCCCATTAAGTGGAGCAGATGATTAGGCTGCTCAAAGCTATCCCTTGAAGTCCAGCTTGGTGGAAGGTGTCCTATGAAGCCTTAAGAAGTAGGAGGTGATAAAACAGGGCTGAAGAAGTAAGGGCATGGGGGAGGGTCTAGCCCTAGGGATGAACTCTAGAGTATTATAGAAGGTCCTGAATAGAGGAAGGCTGGGGCTGATGCAGGATGCTATGAAAGGCCCTGGGGCAAAGACTGAGGCCTCGCTGGTACAAAATTCCTGGAAGGTCTTTCTATACATGTTCCCTATGTACCCATCCATTCTAAAGATGGTATAAATATTTGTGGGAGAGTATATCCTGAGTTTATGGGGCAAATACTTTGTTATTTTTCTTACTATTCTGTTAAATGCCTTCACTTTGAACTAAGTGTGTCCTCTGGCTAACTGATAAAGGTAAACATGAACTGTTTTTGTTATGTGGAACCAGTCTTATCTAGGGAGGGTAGTTAGGTCTAGGAGAACCATCTGCAAGACGCAGGGGATAGTACCCATAGGTGCTACATGTATGTTATTTTTATATTTACTTATCTATGATAAGTTATTTCCTTCTAGCAAAATATAATCTTCTTGGGGGCAGGAACAATTTCAGTTTTTATCATCAATAGAGAAATTGGGAGGGGGGACAGGTTTGGGTCAGGGAGAGACGATGAATTCTGTCCACATATTAGACTCCCAACAGAGATCTGTTGAATTAACAAATTAATCAGATAGATGGGTCAGTTCCAATCCAGACCAGGTCTGAATCAACGGACCTCCAGGGGAAACCCTAGAAGTGTCTGCAAAAAGCCCCTCCCCCAGGAGAAATTATTTGACCCGATATGCCAGATTTTCAGTGACTGCTCAGAAAACTATATTCCTATCCTTTGCTTCCATTCCCTTACCTCACCCCTCTCCAACATATAGAGTCACAGTTTCTTGAAATTAGGAACCTCAGGATTTTATTGAGGGAGATAAAGGATAATGGACGGACGGACACACACACACACACACACACACACACACACACACACACCCTGAACATCAGACCTTAGTCACTCCAGATAGAGAGATTAAGCATCAAAAGAATGCTAAATTGGGGTTGTGTCTCTATGACCTAAAGAGGGAGACAAAAATGGGAGGTTGGTGCTCAGTGGGTCCCCTTCCCTCTCCCTCCAGCCCTCTGTAAATCCTTCCTCCCAAAACACCAGGCATCACAAATGCTCTAACAATTCTTTCTTCATCTTACCCTGCTCTACCTCCCTCCATCCCTCCCCCTCACTACCAGAATCCAGTTTGCCAGCATAACTCCCAAATCTTCCCTCCTCAACCTCTGGACGGGGCCCATTTCCTACTCACTTAATGGGGTGGCACTGCAGTTGAGGGGTTCACCTGTTGTTCCAGGATGGGTCCCAACCCCCTGCCTCCCAATCTGGACCAGCCTCTTCTGGATTTTCCATATTCTCGTAGGAGTCACCATCTTCACAGTAGGAGGGATTGAGTTAAAGGAGGAAAGAGAGATGTACAAGAGAGAGAGACAGAGAGACCACTTGGATCCCTGAAAGCTTAGGCAGTGCTGAGGACTGAAGGATACTCACCTTCCTCCTGGCTTGGACCAGGCTGGGGATGAAGGTTCCGGATTTGAGGGGCAGCATATAGGACTCCTCTCATGTCCTCATAAGACTGAGAACCTGATGGCAGGTGAAGAATGAAGAGATGCATGTGGGAAAGAAAAAGGTTAGATAGGACAAGATGAAACCAAGGAGTTGCAGCCTGGGTTAAGGGGATTAGCCCATATCTCAGTATAGAATGGTTAGATTCAGACTTAGTAAGCTCCACAAAGGCAGGAACCAGTGTCTTGTCTAAACTTCATATCTTCTCCAATGCCCAACCTTATGCTCCACACATAGTAGGTACTCCATACATGTTTACTGGAGTACTGAATGAATGGTTGGATTGAGTGTCAGGACCGCTGAGGATCAGAGTCTTAATTAAGGTCAGAACTAGGTTTGAGATAATAATGAAATAACATTTGTAAAAAACACATAGTAAGTGCTATATAAATGTTTGCTCCCTCCCCTTTCCTTGAGATCAGGGTCAGAGCAGATTGTCCCTACATCTCACCAAGTGAAGAAACCTCCCGGCAGGTGTCCCAAACAGGCCCTTTGGGGAGCAGGAAGCCTACAGAGGAAAGAAAAAGGGATTCTTTCAGTCCTTGAGCCCGCTACCCTACGCTTCTACTCCTCTTTTATTCTCCCAGCCCCTAAATTAGGAATGTTATTGCCCCCACCTGTTGTTGTGTAGACAGGTGGGACCATTTCCGTGTTCTCATTCTCATAAGAATCAGCTGTTGGGGAGAGGAGGGTGAAGGTGAGAAACTTGTCTCCATAAGTCTCTTGGGACTGCACTATGCATCCCTTTCCCCAGCTCCCCTCAGGCTCCTTGGTCCTTTAGGGTCCCCTCTCTCCAGCCACCTAAGGTGTCCTCCCCCAATTCCTCATTACCAGTGGAGAAAGAATCATCCTCTATTTCTTCAGCGGCCATTTTCTCTTCATTCTCATAGCCCCAACCATCTGGGGAGGGAAGGGAATCAGAAAGAGAGCTAGACACTCCTGCCCACTGTCCCTCACTGACTTACCTGTACATCCAATGCCTTGGAGAAAAGGAAAAGGAGCTAGTGGGGCGGGGAGGAGTGTTGCTGAGTGGGGGAAGATTGGGCTCTGTAACATGGAGGAGATTGGGCTCTGAATGAGGGGAGCCACCCGTTATTACCTTGGGAGTTCTGGTCCTGGCTATTTTCATAGGCCACAGAGGCTTCTTCACCATCTGGTTCCTCATAACCTTCTCCTTCCTCCTCTTCTGGATCTATGGAATAAACCAGATCACTGCCCCCAATTCCCCCAGCTTATCCTGCTCCCAGCAGCCTTGATCCCCTCTTCCCTCCCACATAGACTCCCACTTCTACTAACCAGATGCCCATGATCTGAGATCCCTCAGATCAGGGCCTGGGAAGTAGACAATCCTCTTGCAAATGCCTCCCCTATCCCCTGTGCCAAAGAGGATGATAGGATAATGGATTTAGATCTGACATGGAAAATTAAATATCATTGTGTTGAGTCCCATTTTACAGATGAAGCAACTGAGGCCCACAGAGTAGAAATGACTTTCCCAAGGTCACATGGCTAGTAAACATCAGAGGCAGGATTCCCATGATGATCACGACTCCTAATTCAATGTCCTTTCTTCTATGCCCTGCTTGTTTCTCCTCTGGCTTTGGCTCTGGCCCTAGCCCAAGTCTGGGAAGAATAGATACACCTCTTAAGAGTCACTCACCTTCCTGTCCTGGACTCCTGAGCCCAGGGATTCCTGTTCCCTGGTTCCCTTGGTATGGGTTCCCAAAGGATGGAGTAGCTTCTCCAAAGCCAGGGGTCCATTTCATGGTCCGAACTAGAGAACAGAAATGGAGTGATGTCAACTGGACCACCATCACATTTGTCCCTAATTGACTCCTTATCTCCCCTCTCTTCATCTCAAAACCCCTTGACATCATCTCCCATTGTCTTCCCCAAGTCACTGATAAAGAGGTGGTTTTTCTCCTAGCCAGCCACTCTATTTGTGCACTTGATTCCATCCCCTCCCATCTTTCCCAGTAGATGGAAACATTGATTCTCCTCTCTCTCTCTCTCTCTCTCTCTCTCTCTCTCTCTCTCTCTCTCTCTCTCTCTCTCTCTCTCTCTCACACACACACACACACACACACACACACACACACCCCTTCAACAACTCCTTAAAAAATCTTCACTAAACTCTGCCATCCCCAGGAGATTTTTTTTTGATCTTATATATCTTTTTTTCTCACCCAAACACCTTAAAAAGCTGTCTATACTCATGGCTTTCACTTCCTCTCCTCTGTCTCACTTCTCAACCTTTGAAGCAATCTGGCTTCTGAACTCACTATTCAAATCAAACTGCTCTCTCTAAAGTTACCAATGATCTCATAATAGTCAAATCTGACAATAACCTAGCCATGGACCACCCCCACCCCCATCCCCACCACAAAGAGATTACAGAGAGTCTGTGAATTTAGATGGGAAAAAATACATCTTTATTTCAATATAATTGTGTTCCTTTGTAATCCTAATGTATTTTATTTTCTACATTTAAGAACGTTATTCTAAGAAGAGATCTATAGATTTCACAATATTGCCAAATGAGTCTAGACCCCCAAAGGGCTGGGCATCTCCGATCTTGTTCTAGAAATACCCGCTGCACATGACACTGTGGACCACTTTCTCCTTCTGGGCAGTCTCTCTTCTGTGGGTTTTCATGACACTGCTGTCTCCTGGTTCTCTCCTGTCTAACTTTTCAACCTCCTGTACTGGCTCATGATCCATATTACATCCCCTAATTGTGGGTATTCCCTACAGTTCTTTTCTCTCCACACACACATACTCTATCTTAGTAACTTCATCAGCTCCCATGGGTTTAACTATCATCTCTAAGAGAATGACTCCCAAATCTATATTTCCAGCCCCAGGCTCTCCCCTGAGCTTTGGTCTCAAATCACCAGTTGCCTATCGGATGTATCAAAATGGATGTCCCAGAAACATCTCCAACTCAACATAGCTAAAGCCAAACTCATTAGCTTTATACCCCTCTTCCAAACTTCACTATTTCTGTCAAAGGCATCACCATTCTTCCAGTCACCCACTTTGTAACCTCGGCTTTATCCTGGATTCCTCACTTGCCCACATCTCACATGTCTAACCAGTTTCCAAATCTTGCAGTTTTTATCTCTATATCATTTCTCACTCATAAGCCCTTCCTTCCACTCGTACAGTTAGCCCAGATCCATATCGCCTCTCATCTAGATTATTGCAACAGCCTCCTAAATTAGCCTCCATTTTCTCACCAATTCACTTCATCTTCCCCACTGCTACCAGAGTGATTTTCCTTAAGCATGAATTTGGCCATGTCACTTTCTGACTCAATCAATTCTAATAGTTTCCTTTTGCTTTTAGGATAAAATCTAAACTCTTCTATTTAGCTTTTTAAGCTCTTCACAAGTGGCCCCCAACTGTCTTTCCAGCCTTTTAAGGCATCACTATCCTTCCTACATTCTGTGATTCAGCCATATTGGCCTTTCTCTCTGTTCTACATATATTCCATCTCCTGACTTCATGCCTTAGACCAGGGGTAGGGAACCTGCAGCCTCAAGGCCACATGTGGCCTGCTAGGTCCTTGGGGGTAGCCTTTTGACTGGGTCCAAGTTTTATAGAACGAATCTTTTTATTAAGGGGATTTGTTCTGTGAGGTTTGGATCTAGTCAAAGGGCCGCACTTGAGAACCTAGAGGGCCATATGTGGCCACATGTGGGGAACCGCAGGTTCCCCACCCCTGCTTCAGAATGCCTCTCTCTTCTTTTAATATTCAGCTCAAGCATCATCTTCTACATGAAGTCTTTCCTGATCCCCTCCCTCCCAAACTACCCTGTATTTAACTGCTTTGCATGTACTTACATTTATTCACTTTCTATTCACCCTGTATATATTTACAGACATAGTTGTCTTCTCCATTAGAACATAAGCTGGTTGCTAGTAGAGATTATTCTCAGCACCTTGCTCCTCTCAGCTTCTTCTTCCTCTCCTTTATCCTCCCAACTTTTCTCTTCTCTCCTTTTTCAACTTCTCCCTTTATCCTCTACTCATTCCTCCCTCTGAGCTCTCCTCTCCACAAAAAGGCTCGTCCATAGGCCTCAGGCTGGGATATGTCCTAAAAAGGACTGACTTGGGGGAGTTTCATGGTTGGGACAGGAAGGGGCCTAACTATATTCTCTGGGTATATCTCAGTGAGGAATTCAGAGACCTTACCATTTCCAGAGTTTGGTACCCCAGACATGGGTAACACATTCCCATACTGACTCTGGGCCTCATTCCCTGGAGACATCACTTTGAAGAACCTGATCCCAGAAAAAGAGGTGATGGATAAACTGGAACACAAACCTAAGGGGCTATGGGACAACTGAGGGGTAGGGGAAACAGAAAGGGGCCTGAGGACTGGGCAGTATAAAAAGAGCTTGGAGTAAAAACCCTTGAGTTCAAATCCTGGTTCCCACATTTACTAACTGTGTGGCCTTGGGGAAATCTCTTAACTTCTTTGAGCCTCAGTTTCCTTATCTGTAAAATAAGGAAAATGATATCTACACTACCATCTCATAGGTTTATTGTGAGGAAAACTCACAAAAAGACTTTTAGAAATGTGAATTACTGCTATTGGCTGATATGGAAGAAACGAGGGGATAGGAGAGAAAAAACAGTCCCTGGATAGGGGTAGGGGTGCTGGTTTGGGATGAGGTTCAAAGGGGCTGAGATTTCTCCACATTGAGTTTTCTTACCTCCTGGTGCGATCGGTCATCCGCTTCTTTTTTCTCCGTAAGAGCAGGGCTAGCCAGGAGTCAGAGGAGGATTTGGGTTGGGATCAGTCAGAAATGCTGGAATTGGGGAGGGAGGCTAGACACAGACAAGACACAGGTATGGGGCAGGAGGCTGCCGGCATAGAGGCCATTCCTTCAGGAAGTCCAAACTGAAACTAGGATGGAGTGGGGGCCAAGACCAGAAACAGGGTCAAGGGAGAAAGAGGTGTCCCTCACCTTTCTTAACTTGGAGGAACCCAACCAGGGTACCCAGACAGAAGGACACATAGGTCAGAGTAACAACTGGAACCTTCCAGACTCCAGTCCCCAAAAGCCAACGCCATACTGCAGAGGGATGAGAAGAACTATGAGATGGGGGAATCTTCCTGTTCCCTCTCTCAACCTTCAGAGACAAGTACTAGACTGTGAGCTAGGGGACCCCCATACACTCTCACATTCATACCCCACAAAGTATTCCAAGAAGAAAGAAGAGTAGATCTTTCAGCTTTGACCCCCAAGAGAAAGCTGCAGAGGACATGATTCTTCCTACCTGACTGTGAGATGACTTTCAGCTCGATGCTGATGGTGAGGTTGCCACTTTTACAGAGGTAGGTACCAGCATCCTGGGGAACAACCTGGGGCAGAATTAGCAGGGCACCTTCTCCTTGAGTGCCCATAACCCAGAACTCGCGGGCTGGGAGACCCTCTCCCAGTTTGAGGCTCAGGAGTGAAGTATTTTTCCCAGGGCGCCAGTGAACCCATGATGTAGAGCCCCAGGTCAGGGAAGATGGTGGCTGTTCACAAGACAGCCAGAGGGGAGATCCTGGGGCCAGAGTCAGCTCCTTATAATCTGGGGGAGAAAGACCACAGTTCAACTTATTAATTTATTCATTCACAGAATCTCAGAGTTGGAAAGGACCTCCACTTTCATCCAGTCCAACTCATGCCTGACTAAGAATCTTCTCGACATGGCCATCCAGCCTTCAATCAAGGATCTCAGGGGACTGGAGAAGTGTGGAAGAGTACAGACTAAGCAGTCATGACTAAGTCCAGCTTTCTTTCATCACCTTCAAATGGCAACAAGTATGCCAAATAAAGTAAAAGAATAACAGAGAAGGGGGAGGAGGGAAAAAAGAAAGAAATTCAGACAAGAAGACTAGGATAGGATCACAGACTGAAAGCTGGAAGGTCATTTTTTCAACCCCCTCAAATTAAAGATGTAGAAACTGAGGGCCACAGAGGTTCAGTGATTTAGCCAGGCTCACAGAGTTAGTGAGTGTCAGAGGTAAGATTTGAACCCAGGTTTTCCTAGTTCCAATTTCAGCACTCTATCCGCTATACCACACTGCTTACCTTCAATCAATCAATAAACATTTATTAAGTGCCTAAAGAAAGATTCAAAGAGTGACTTAAAACGAGCCCAAGAAAGCTCCTCAAATAATGAGTACATGAATATATATTATTTACTGAATAAATAAAAGTAAGGAGAAATCTCCAGAAAAAAACACATTTGGAAGTAAAAAATTATGTAAAATTATGTTAATAAGAGAAATGAAGAAAGACCTGGTGTGTATAAAAATGAACATCAAATAAACAAAAACATAAAAAGTTAAACAAGAAACTCAAATGTTTAGAAAAAAACAGTGGAAAATGTTAATAAATTGATAGCTAGGTGGCACAGTACATTCAGTGCTTCACCTGGAATCAGGAAGACAAGAGTTCAAATCCAGCCTCAGATCCTTACTAGCTGTGTGACTCTGGACAAGTCACTTAACCTGTTTGCCTTGGTTTCTTCAATTGTTAAAAGGGAGTAATGACAACACCTATCTAAAAGGATTGTTGTGAAGATCAAATGAAATAGAGCAAAACAAAAATAATAATTCAAGGGACTAGAATAGGGTACATTATGCTTTGCCAAATAAAAAAAAAGCAAGAGTTACAAACATGATCTTAGATAAGGCAGAGTGAAAATAGGTTCTAAAAAGAGGGATAAACAGACAAACTACCTTGTGCTTAAAGGCACCATACATATTCTATACTCATGGACTAAAAGATCTACTGAGAACATGAAGGAAAAGTTACCCGAAACATAAAAAATAACTAAACAATAATGTACTGATAGGAAATTTTGATGTTTCTCCTTCAAAATTTGATAACTCTAACAAAAATAAAAAAGAAGAAAATTACAAAATCAATATAAATTTGATAGACTTAAGAGTGTCACATAAGAATCTGAAAAAGCATGATAATTTTTTGCTGACACATGGAACCTTCATAAAAAAAAAAGAACATAGTCTAAGACACAAAGAACTCATAAATAAATGCAAAAAGGGGAAATTTTATTAAACCATATTATTTATAAATCATAATGCCATAAAAATAGTAATCAAGGAGGAAAATATGAACAAAAAAGGCAGAACTAAATGGAAACTAAAAATTATATCCTAAGTAATAAGTGGGTCAAAGATTGAATAATAGGAAAAAAGTGTGTGTATACATATATATACACATATATACATATCTATATATGTATATGTTTAAGAGAATAATATTAGTGACACAATATAGAAAAATTTATATGATGCAGCTAAAGCAGTCAGTGGCAGATTTAAATCTCTGAACACTTTTATTTATAAAAGAGAAAAATAGAGGACTGATGAATTGGTCACACAAATTAGAAAACTAAAAAACTAATGATCCCAATACAAGCACAAAGAAGAAATTTTGAGAGTTTCTAAATACATATTTTTAATTGAACTAATACACAAAACAAAGAGCTGGCTTTTTTAAAAAAAAATACCAATAAAATTGATCAACAATCAACTAATTTAATTTTTTTAAGAAAAAAGGAAAGGAAAACAAAATTACCAAAATCTAAAATGAGAAGGGAAGATAACAATTAACAGAGTGAAAACAAAGAAAATTAGCAGAGACTCGAACATCTAGTTGTTTTTGTTTGTTGATACCTGTAATTTCATTTTCGTAGGGAACTCCCCAGTATGGGAAACTCCCTCTACCAATGTATATCATCAATTCCTGTAATATAGTCTTATAGATTTGCTTAGAGACATTAAGAAGTTTCTTGCCCATGACCACATAGTATATGCCAAAGGCAGGCCTTAAACCCAGGTATTCTTGACTCCATGGCCAATTCCCTTAAGTACTCAACACTTTCTCTTGTATTCAATTATATGCCAATAAAATTGAAAGTCTAAATAAAATGGATTGATATCTACAAAAATATAAAATTCTGAGACAAGGCAAACAGGAAATAGATAACACAATCTCAAAATTAGAAATTAAGCAAGTCATAAATGAACTGCCACAGAAAAAAAAATTTCCAGAACCAGATTGATTTACGTGTACATTCTAGCAAATATTTAAAGACCAAATAATCCCCATGCTATGTAAACTATTTTCAAAAATAGTGAAAGAAGGCACCCTACCAAATTAGTTCTATGACAGAAACATGGTCCTGATACCCAAACCAGGGAAGGAAAAAGCAGAAAAAGAGAATAATAGATCATTATTACTAATTAATATTGATACAAAAATGTTAAACAAAATACTATCAAAGGTAATATAGCAAGATATACAAAGAAAGATTAATCATGACCAAGTTGAATTTATACTAGTATAACAGGAACTGCACATGCTCAGAGTATTTCTGACAGTATTCCCAAGTGGAAAAGCCTAGGGAGCCTACTTCCAGGAGATTCTGCAATAATATAATTATTATATTATTAATGTAATTCTGTAATTAATGTCATAGAAGAGCCTTGGAGCAAGAGGCTTGAGCTCTTGTAGACATTCTGCAACTGGTTCTGACCTGCTAACTACATGGTTAGGAGAAGCCCTTTTGATTGGTGAGGTACCTGGAACTAGGAGTGCCTTCAAAACCAAAGCTCCCTGGCTCTTCTCTTAGGCTGTTCCTTCTTGGTTTGAATTCTTTGGGGATGGTGTCCAGGGAGAGACAATACTACAAAGGGAGAAGCCTTGGGCTTTCTCCCCAATGAGGCCAACACTGACCCAGTGAAACAGGCCTTGGTTCCTTTGCTTCTGAAATTTTCCCTTTCCATTTTAGGTGAAGGGATTAGAGACTCTGACCTTCTTAATTTTAAAAAGTCGAGAGGGCAACATTCTCAGCATCCTGGCATCTCTGCATCTAAGTTGTGCAGTCAACCCAGCATCGATGCCCTGAGGAGTATGGCATGACCTATGGGACACAGCTCAGCAGGAAGTGAGACAAAGATTCATCTGGCAGCCAAGCCACATTTGGATGTGAAGTTGGTAAAGCCAATGCTATGTAGGAACTTAGCTAAGTTTGAGCCTATTCTCCTCAGACACCAAGCTGGGATAGAGAAGAGTGTTTGCCCCAAAGGTGTTGAGGGGAAATATTCATATTTTTGTTCTTGCTTAGAAAGAAATATCCCTTGTAAAAGCTAATTGATGTTAAATGGTTAAAAGGAAAAGGGGCTCTAGTCACTAGCCTCTAGCGGGGGGTGGAAACACAACCTATGAGGCTTGACATGATAGCTGCAGAGAAAAGACACTACCTAACCCTTCAGGGTACTTTTAGATACCTGGGGGGATATGTAGCATCCTGGCTCCAGGATAGGGGGTCCAAGAGTACTCACTACATTAGGAATACACAGATGGTTCAATATGAGGAAAATAATTAGCATAATAAATCACAGCAATAATGTGCTGGGGGTTGATTGGGGGAGTCTGTGCTTAGTGTGATAATCCCTGCCCCTAATCAACTTGCTGAAATTAGTTTGGACCTTTGTTGGAAGGGGGTCTCCTTTTCATGGAGTTAAATCTGTGCCCTAGGCCATTGCAGAGAGGACACTGGGGACTCCTCTGGTGATTCCAAGGACTGGGATGACTGGTTGACGGAAGCTTGAGAAAACAGACTTTTGTCAGAGGAGACATTCCCTTTGTGGTCCATAGGAATGCGCTATGAAACAACCCATCTCTTTCTACTCTTTTTTGTTTTACATGGTGTTGTTTTTCTCTCTTTCTTTTCGATTTCCCTTTCCCCTCACCCCCAGGAGCAGAAAATGGCAGGTTTCAATAGAAGCACATGACAAGCATCTTATGTTTCCCCAGGTCAGCCTAAGAGGGGAATTTTTTAACTTCTAGTTCCATACCACCTTCAGCTTTTCTGTTTCACTTTCTGAGCACAAGTCAGAGATTAACAATCCCGACAATAGATATTTCCAGACCTCGAGATTACCTTATGGCTAATTCTGAATTCCAAAGTTCATGAATTTGAGAGTCAGGCAATGGCCTCTCATAGGGAGATCTCCTGAACTGCCCACTTCTCAGAAAATAGAGAATCCAGCAGTTAAAGGAGTAAAACCAGATCAGATCTGGGCCATGCCAACCTTCTATAATATTTTTGGGAGTTTCTCAGAGCAAATCTGAAGTAAATGGACAGTATTTGTTCCCCAGTCCCCTAAAGTGTCTTTACTTTCTGAGAGGAGTCTAATTAGCTATATGATTGTTTTATGTTTCCTGTATTTTCTCCCAGATGTGAGTCCTTTGTTATGGTGGGGGACATGAAGGGTGTTCTATTCTTGATAGCTATAATGTCTACTGATGAAAGTATAGGAGTTGGGAAGCCTATTACCCACTTTAGGGGAAACAAGACATATCTAAACTTTGTTCTGGAGATTTCCCTGAGTTTTACACTTTGGTTGGGGTATAACAAGTCAAAAAGAGAAACTTATCTCTTCGGGGTCAGGTCCCCAGGATTAAGGCCAGTGTGTGTAAGCCCAGTCTTTAGAGGAACCCTGAGCCATGAGTGATAAAAACAAACATAAAGAAGAAAATCACATAATTGTA